CAGTCCGTCCGTCCACAAAACTGGATCCCGCGATAACTTCAAAAGTACTGAATATTTTATGAAACTTGATATATGGATAGATGGCAGTATGGAGATTATGCACGTCTTTTTCTTTTCTTCCTATGTTGAAAATTCTGGTTGCTATGGCAACAAATAAGCTTAAAATATGGCAAATTTTACACATAAACTGGATCCAGTGATTTTAACGCAAAAAGTAATAGAAATATTTTTATGAAACTTGTAATATGGGTAGATGGCAGTCTGGAGATTATGCACGTCTTCTTTTTTTTCTTCCTATGTTGAAAATTCTGGTTGCTATGGCAACACATAGACTAAAAATATGGCAAATTTTACACATACACTGAATCCAGTGATAACTCAAAAAGTACTGGAAATATTTTTATGAAACTTGACATATGGGTAGATGGCAGTCTTGAGATTATGCATGTCTTATCTGTTCTCCCTATTTTGAAAAAATATTGGTTGCCTTGGCAACAAATAGGCTTAAAACATGGCAAATATAACATTATTTGTGATTAGTAAAAAAGAGCTGAAATTTTTTTATGAAATTTCATCTTTAATTCAAGAGTTATCTCCTCTTTAAGAATTTTGCTTTTAAAAATGTTATATTTTGGTAACAGGGATGTTTCAAATATAATCTTTAGAGTGTCCTTCAGTCCGTCTGTCTGTCTGTTCATAAAAACTGTTTCCTGTGATCACTTTTAAAGAACTTTTCCAACAAATTTACTTAAAATATAGAAAAATTGAAACATAAGTGAATGGCCAATATTATGGCCCTTCAGAATGTTGATGGGGTTCTAACCGGTAGGGGACTTATGGATTGCTTGCAATACTATGATAATTGCTTGTTATTAAATGGATTTATTTCACTCCTGCGCCACGGTTTATGTGATAAAGTATTATATGTTCTGTTTTGTATAATAAATGTTATTGATATATGATCGTCTTCATGTTCTTTGTTGATAAAATAACCAAGTTATCAGATAATGCAAATAATTATGATTATGAAAAGATAAACCTCAACTTAACCATATTAAGTATAAAATAGGTGTCTATATAGCACATGAAATGGTAAAAATGTATCCCAGTGCCAATTCCAATATTTCTCTTGCAAGGATTTCTATAAATATATCTGATAGTTTATCAAATATTAATAATAAAAAATAGGGGTCGAGTTGACTACAGGATGGGTTGACCACAGGACGAGTTGACCAAAAAAGTGACGAGTTGACCATAGGACGAGTTGACTCGAAATCATTCCGGTCAAACCCTTCCAGACAGAGTTATGGCCCTTGATTAGTTATGCAGTATATAGAGCAATATTGCTGCTGGATTGATTCAACAAGACTTTATGGCAACCATCAATACGGCAGGGAAATTGATTTTATGTAAATAAAGCCTTATTATTAAAGCCAGTTGTGTTAGTAATAACCTGTACTCAGCGGGGGATATAAATTCAATGAATTTGCTTGTTTATAATTATGAATTATAGACACAACATTTTTTAGTTCAGTACATGTACCTTCATGTATATCGAACTCAAATTAGACCTTGTGTTATTTATGTAAGGATTTGATTTATACTTGGACAAAACAAGACTTTCTACCAAACAAATATATAGAATAATTCAGATGTGACATTTAATTAACCTTGATCATCAAGGTCAAATTAATGAAATTCTCTTATTTTATCCTCTAGCAATGAGATTTGGCCCATGCGCACAGTTTTAGATGTAAAAATGAGTTTTAATATCATTACACCTATATATTGATGTAGTGACCTACTTTTGAACTTTTATATCAGCTGACTTTGATAATTTGACGAAGTGACCTACTTTATTTTCCTTTGATGTACAGCTATGAAATTTTGACCATGTACACATTTTCAGATGTAAAATTGAACTTTGATATCAGTTGACCTAGATAATTTTACAAAGTGACCTACTTTCTGGTTTTTTGATGTACAGCAATGAAATTTGGACTTTTTGGACAAAACAACAAGTGTGACTAGGCCTACCTATTAAAATTTAAAGAAATAAGGAATAACGAAAAAAGTCACTATAATTTATTTTCAAAGATTTGTTTAAAACTTTTATTTGTTATGTTGTTTTTTAGAAAGTCAAGCATTGCCCTGCCCTTGACAGAGTTACTGCCCTTGACTTAGTATAAATTTGCAATACTCAACTTTTGGTTCATACAGAATTTATTTTAGTTCGATTGTGTAGGAAGCTATAAGCTTATACACACACTTTCGAATTTGTTCCTGGAACCAACCAGTACTGACCAATGTGTGTAAAGTTTCTTGCTCAATGAAACAACGACTTGCCCCTACCAGGGTTTGAACTCATGGGGCTAGCGATCATTAGATTACTTTAACAGAATCCTTTAATGTCAGAATGGTATTTACTGCTCATTATATTGAAAAGTATTTATCACAAAATCTTCATATTTCACATATTGAATATGCCATATGTTGTTGATTTTTGGGATTACAATAATTCAAAAGCGAAGGTCACAGGTGCCTTAAATACATGAATGGTTATGCTCATTATCTTGTAAACTATCACACAGTCTTCATATTTAACATATATTGGGATCACTATGTCAAGGGTCTTAAATGTCGGAATGGTTACTGCTCATTATATTTAAAACTATTTATCACAAAGTCTTCATATTTTACATATTGAATAACCATATGTTGTAGATGACCCCTATAGATTTTGGGATTACTATAGATCAAAGGTCAAGGTCACAGCAGCCTTAAAGCTGCACGCCACCAGATGAGCGAAAATATTTCAATAAAATCAAACCTGAGAAAAATGTACTAAGATTTTAGGATTCAAAGTTCTAGTAATAGTTTACATGTTATTTGCGATTAATGACCGATTTTTCAGTATTTATAAATATTGCGTTACTAACGCAGTAAGGGCTATTTTTAGCTCACCTGTCACAAAGTGACAGGGTGAGCTTTTGTGATCGCTTTTCGTCCGGCGTCCGTCCGGCGTCCGTAAACTTTTACTTTAAATGACATCTCCTCATAAACCACTAAGCCAATTTCATCCAAACTTCACAGGAATGTTCCTTTGGTGGTCACCTTTTAAAAATTGTTCAAAGAATTTAATTCCATGCAGAACTCTGGTTGCTATGGCAACCAAAAGAAAAAACTTTAAATATCTTCTCTTAAAAAACCATAAGAGCTAGAGCTTAGATATTTGGCATGAAACATCTTCTAGTAAGTGTCTACCAAGTTTGTTCAAATAAAAGCCCTGGGGTCAAAATTGGCCCTGCCCCAGGGGGTCATTGATTTTCCCTATATGCATATAGTAAAAACTTAAAAAATCTTCTTTTAAAGAACCCAAAGAGTTAGAGCTAAGATATTTAGCATGAAACATGTTCTAATGAGTGTCTACCAAGTTTGTTCAAATAAAAGCCCTGGGGTCAAAATTGGCCCCGCCCCGAGGGTCATTGATTTTCCCTATATGCATATAGTAAAAACTTAAAAAATCTTCTTTTAAAGAACTCAAAGAGCTATGGCTAAGATATTGAGCATCAAACATGTTCTAATAGGTGTCTACCAAGTTTGTTCAAATAAAAGCCCTGGGGTCAAAATTGGCACTGCCCCGGGGGTCATTGATTTTCCTTATATGTGTATAGCAAAAACTTAAAATCTTCTTTGAAAAAACCCAAATAGCTAGAGTTTAGATATTAAGCATGAAACATCTTCTAGTAAGTGTCTACAAAGTTTGTTCAAATAAAAGCCCTGGGGTCAAAGCTGGCCCGGCCCCAGGGGTGTCATTGTTTTTAACTATATGTGTATAGTAAAAACTTTAAAAAAAATCTTCTTTTAAAAAGCCCAATGAGCTAGAGCTTAGATGTTTAGCATGTAACATCTTCTTATGGGTGTCTACCAAGTTTGTGCAAATAAAAGCCCTTGGGTTAAATTGGCCCTGCAACGATGGGGGGGGGGGCGGTGGTGGGGGCCTATATACAGGTGAGCGACCTCAGGGCCATCATGGCCCTCTTGTTGCATATGTTGTCCTCTTTTAAGTAATTTACGTGGATTGTAAGTGGCATTGATATTGTGTAAATTGCTTTTTTTTGTTATTTCACTGAATAATACTTTTAAACACATTTTCAAAATTTTCATAAAATTAGCATAAATCTGTAGGCGTGCCGCTTGAAATGTAAGAATGGTTTCCGCTTATTACCTTGAAAAATTTCCACAGTCTTTATATTTCACAAATTGATTAGTCATAATGGGGTCACTAGTTGAAAGGTCAAGGTCTTTATGTTTCACGTATTGATTGGTTATAACTAGTAGGTCATTATTTTTCTTTTATTCGGTATATGTAATTATTTAATCTTTACTGTAATCTGCTTAGGAAGTGAAGAACAAACTTACACAAATGAATGTGCAAAATAGATATACAGAAATCTACCAAAGCATTACAGATTCAATTATAGTGGTAGAAAATATTGGGATTTATGTACTTACAAAAAGGATTATACAAGATTTTTAATACTTTATTATAGGATCCCTGTAGCCTAGTGGTTATGTTCACCAATTGCAAATTATTTGCCCCTCACTCCCTAGCAAGAGAAAATAAAATCTTTTTACTTAACGAAGCTATGAAAGGTCTGTGGTTTTCTACTCATTTATCTGTTGTGTGGCAGGACATGTTAAGTCTTTTATCTAGACCACAATGAAGAAATGAAATCTGCCCTATGAAATTTACTCATGCAGTTTGACCTGCCTCTACTTCTAGCTGTCATCTTCAACTTTCATTATACTATCCTTAAAATTGATAATGGACAGTTAATATGAAAACTGGACAAGCCTTTTAAAAAAATCCAGCAAGATGGACATCAAAGATATTATGCAGTTTGTGTTAAGCATGTTAGCAAAGGTTCAAAAGAAACCTTTGCCTATTATTGGCTTATATACAAAAGAAATTAACAATTTCTTCATGTACATTTCAGGAAGGAGGAAAAGTGTGGGGCATTGAAGAAACAGATGAAAAGTAATGAGGATTTGACCACCATTACCCAGTTTTTGATTGATTTGAGTAATATCATTGAACAATGCTAAAGAAGTGAATAAGTGAGAGAATGTGGGTTTAGGAATTTTTAGCTCACATGTCACAAAGTGACAAGGTGAGCTTTTGTGATCGGCGTCAGTCCATCCGTAAACTTTTACTTTAAAAGACATCTTCTCATAAAACGTTAAGCCAATTTCATCCAAACTTCACAGGAATGTTTCTTTGGTGGTCACCTTTAAAAATTGTTCAAAGAATTAAACTCCATGCAGAACTCTGGTTGCCATGGCATTCGAAAGAAAAAAAATCTTCTTTTAAAAAACCCAAAGAGCTAGAGCTTAGATATTTATTTGGTGTGAAACATCTTCTGGTGAGTGTCTACCAAGTTTGTTCAAATAAAAGCCCTGGGGTCAAAATTGGTCCCACCCAAGGGGTCATTGATTTTCCCTATATGTTTATAGGAAAAACTTCAAAAATCTTGGAGCTAGAGCTTATATATTAATCATGAAACATCTTCTAATGGGTCTCTACCAAGTTTGATCAAATAAAAGCCATAGCTTAAAAATTGGCCCCGCACCAGAGGAATCATTGATTTTTGTATGTAGTAAAAACTGGCACCGCCCAAATAAACGGGTTTGATTTTCAGACCGTTCAGAGTCTAACGGCATTTTAAGTACAAGCAGGTAGTTAATCCATTTTTTGCTTTACCACGGCTGTACCCGAAGTCTTTGACCTTCTAAAGGTCAAATCAAAATGGCCACCATTGACCTTTACCATCTACTTTATAATTTATTATTTCTGTGTTCATAGCGTATTGTATGTCCATTCATCTACATAGAATTAAGTTTCCATTACTGGCTGATAATCAAACATGATTTAAACATTGACTACTATGGCTGCCATCTTTAATTTCAAAATGGACACCCTTTTTAACTTTTTGTGTCACCTTGAAAAAGGCAACAGGGGTTACTTTTGTCGTCGGCGTCCCCTTAAGCTTGATTGACTTCAAACTTAGTATGCATGCTTCTTATAATGACTCGAAGTGCAGTGCACAAGAACCGGTACTCTGCATTTCTTAATTTTTGAGTAATTGCCCTTTGTTAATTTCATACTTTATTTTTGTCCGGGCCATTTCTCCTAATGTATAAAAGCTATGGACTTGAAACTTCATAGGATGATAGAATTCATTAAGAAGAAGTGCAGTGCACAAGAACCGGTGCTCTGCACTTCTTATTTTTTGAGTTATTGCCCTTTGTTAATTTCATACTTTATTTTTGTCCGGGCCATTTCTCCTAATGTATAAAAGCTATGGACTTGAAACTTCATAGAATGATAGATCTCATTAAGAAGTGCAGTGCTCAAGAACTGGTACTCTGCATTTCTTATTTTTTGAGTTATTGCCCTTTGTTAATTTTCATACTTTATTTTTGTCCTGCTCATTTCTCCTTAACTATATTGTTCACAAGGTGACACATCAGACTCACGGAGTTCTAGTTTACAAATATAAGTAAAGTGCTTTAAAACAAATGGATCCTTCTGTAAGAAAAATTATCAAAAATGTAATAATGATATAAGCAACATGTCATGTAGAATTATACACAATGTGTAGGTATACTGTAAACTTTAATTGTTAATTACATCATTTCTTCAAACTATTACAGGTCATTCTTTATGGACAATTAATTATGCCCCCCTTCAAAGAAGTGGGGGTATAGTCACGTCTGGTAAATGATAGAGCTACCTCTTTAGGTATACGGTTAATCGCTCTATCCCTACTTCCGAGCTAGTGCATGTCGCTAAAATCTTATTTCATTAATAGAACTAATATCTTCTTGAAACGTATTTGTTTTTAATCTGAATCGCTGTATAGATGAAAATTGGAGGAAAAATACTTTGTTTTATGATGAAACAGTCCATTTCAACGCTGAATTCGCTAACACGGAAACGCCGCCACAACTACATTTCAAACACAAATATAACAACTTTACGTTTTTTGGAAACTTTAATCAAATAAACATGGCATAGCATTCTCCGAATTTCGATATTTGGTATAGAGTTTACAAAATAAATAAAAAATGAAAACAATTGACACTTGATTTCAGCGACCTGCACTAGCTCAGAAATAGTGATAGAGCGATTTACCGTATACCTCCGAAAGAGGTAGCTCTATCATTTACCAGGTGTGATATTGCTTTGCATTTGTCTGTTGGTCGGTCTGTATACCAAATGGTTTCCGAGTGTCAGCTAAAGAATGCTTAGGCTTAGGAACTTCAAACTTGGTATGGTGATTGTTCATGACCAGTAGATGATCCCTATTGGTTTAAGGGTCAAAGGTCAAGGTCACATTGACCTTGTAGCTAAAAACATTTTCCGACTGATAACTAAAGAACGCTTAGGCCTAGGAACTTCAAACTTGATGATGATTGTTCATGACCAGCAGATGACCCTAGTGATTTTCGGGTCAAGGGGTCAAAGGTCAAGGTCACATTGACCTTGTAGGTAAAAACAGTTTCCGACTGATAACTAAAACACGCTTAGGCCTAGGAACTTCAAACTTGGTATGATGATTGTTCATGACCAATAGATGACCCCTATTAATTTATGGGTCAAAGGTCAAGGTCACATTGAGTTTGTAGGTAAAAACGGTTTCCGATCAATAACTAAAGAACGCTTAGGCCTAGGAACTTCAAACTTGTTGTGATGATTGTTTATGACCAGCAGATTACCCCTATTGATTTTGGGGTCAAAGGTCAAGGTCACATTGACCTTGTAGGTAAAAATGGTTTCCGATCAATTACTGAAGAACGCTAAGGCCTAGGAACTTTAAACTTAATATGATGATTGTTCATGACCAGCAGATTTTGGGGCCTTCTAGGTAAAAACTTGGCTGTCATTAATGAGGCCTACATGATTTATAAAATTTATGCATATATTATTTGGTAAGATTTGAAATAACTTTGTCATAAAATTGCTGCATGTCACTATTACCTAGTGACTAGTCATGACGAGTAATTAACTCTTATTGATTTTTTGGTCACTAGGTCAAAAGTCAGTCATAATAACCTGATCACATGACTAATTGGCTGCCGATAGGGGGCATACATGTTTTACAAATATTCCTTGTTATTATTTATCTGAGATCCCAAATGTGTAATATTTAAACATGCACAAGTTAATTTACAATTAGATGTTTAAGTTGTAATTTTGATGAAATAACATTTGGAACACTAAATCATTTTATAACTTGATTGTCAAAAGTTAAGGTAAGTATGTTAATATTTCAAAAATTGCCTTCATCTTCAAAGGCCAATGACTATGTCTATGCAGGCCACATGTCGTTGCAACAACATCTGCCGAAAGACCTGGTTTAAAATATATAAAAAAACAGAATCCTTAAAAACGCTCAAAGCGGCAAAATTAGGCTCGGTTTGATTGAGCCTGTTCATGGACGGTACAGAAAATTGCAAGCTACTGTATAAACCCTCTAGCACCGGCCTAAGCAGAAATCATAATTTAAACGTGAAAATTGTGAAATTACAAACATTTTTTTATGCCACCGCAGTATCTATCTGCGATGGCATATGGCAATTCACCTCTGTGTGTCTGTGTGATATAGATTATATAGTGAACTTAAAAAATCTTCTTGTGAAAAACCAAGAATTTGATTCCATGCAGAAAGCTGGTTGCTAATGCAACCAAAAGGAATGATAAGGATTTTTCGAAGAAAAAAGCGGGATATAGAAAAAGCGGGATATAGAAATAGGCTCCGTCAGTCCGTCACACTTTCGTGTCCGGTCCATAACTTTGTCATTCATCAAAGGAAATTGAAATAACTTGGCACAAATGTTTCTGATAATAAGACAATGTGTCATGCGCAACAACCGGACCCCTACCTCCAGGTTCAAGGTAGCACTTGCTCATTGAAGGTCAACATTGTCTATTTGATGGTATATGTCGTGTCCGGTCCATATCTTTCTTATCTTTGAAGGGATTTTGTAAATACTGCCACAATTGTTCACAATAATGAGACTATGTGTCATGCACAACAACCTGTCACCTACCTCCAAGGTCAAGGTCACCCTTGAAGGTCAAAGATTAGCATAGTCTGTTATAAGGTATATTTTGTGTCCGGTCCATAACTTTTTCATAGATCAAAGGATTTTGAAAATACTTCGCACAAATAGTCACTATAATAAGACAATGTGTCATGCGCAACACCGGCATCCCTACTTCTAAGGTCAAGGTCTCTCTTAGAGGTCAAAAATTAACATAGTCTGTTACAGGGCATATTTTGTGTCTGATCTAGAACTTCTTCATAGTTCAAGGGATTTTGAAATAACTTGGCACAAATAGTCACAATAATAAAACAATATGTACAACACCTGCACCTCTACCTCAAAGGTCAAGGTCACACTTAGTGGTCAAAGGTTAACAGAGTCTGTTATATGGTTTATTTGTGTGTCCAGTCCATAACTTCTTCATAGATCAAGGGATTTTAAAAATACTTTGCACAAATAACCACAATAATAAGGCGATATGTCAGGCGCAAAACATGGGTCCCTACCTCCAAGGTCAAAGATTAACATAGTCTGTTATAGGGTATATTTTGTGTCCGATCTATAACTTCTTCATAGTTCAAAGGATTTTGAAAATACTTGGCACAAATAGTTACAATAATAAGACGATATGTCATGCACAACACTTGCACCTTTACCTCCAAGGTCAAGGTCACACTTAGAGGTCAAAGATTAACATGATAGATTTTTCAATTTCGTGTTACATTTTATTTCTTTTATAAATTTATTGTAGCATTTGCAGATCTAGCATTGATCATTATTTTGCACAGAAAGTCCTGAGATCCATACCTCAATCTTTTGAAATAGTACAATTTTATGCTTTATTTAAAACTTCCCTGAGGCAGGGGACGTTGGTAACTCTGTTACAAATTCTTGTTTGTATATGTCTGGCTTGATTATCTCCCTTTAATAAGATTGACTACCGTTTTGAACCAAATATCCTGGAAATTGGTCAATAAGGTTGAAATGATGATTTTTATATCAAGTTCGAATATGGATCACCTGGAGTCAAAAACTAGGTCACACAGGCTCAATATTGGAAAACCTTGTTTACACTCGAGGGGCTACTGTAACAGACAAAATATCCTGAAAATTGGTAAGAATTGTTGTTATGATGATTCCCAGATCAAGTTTGAATATGGGTCACTTGTGTTCAGAAACTAGGTCACACAGCCCTTATATGGAAAAACCTTGCTTACTCCTTAGAGGCTACTGTTGTGATCCAAATAACCTGAAAATTGGTCAGAAGGTTGTTTTGGTGATTTCGAGGTCAAGTTTAAATATGGGTCATCTGTGGTGAAAAACTAGGTCACAAAGCCCAAATGAAATGGGATTGATCCTTCATAATCAGGTGAGCGATATAAGGGCCATCATGGCCCTCTTGTTTAATATGATTTTGTGAATGACAAATTATTGACTGGATTCCCCACAAATGAACCTTTGCAAAGTTATCTTTCTTGATTGACATGACCCTGATCTTTGGGTTGTTCAATTGACTCTCAGGAACTACACGTCCTAGTACATGTTCTTGTGCAATTGACATTGACATAAAATATCCTTTCTCTTTGAAACCAAAACATTTTCATGGTATCTCTATTTGAAGATTAAGTAATATAATAAAGCATATTATTTCCTAATCCGTTATTAAGCTGTGAATTTGTGCTGAATTATTTCAAAATCCAACTTTTTTTAATTACACAATCTTAAACAATACAAAGTTTTTCAAGCACTTGCAAGTCTAAGTGTTAAGCTTTAAGCCATGATCTTTATTATGACTTGTCTCCATATGCCACACATTCATGCAATTTATTTCATAATCAATCCGAAAATGACAAATATGGACGGGATTAAAAACGGACAGACAGGGACAAGTTCTTACTGAAAGATTTGTGCGGATGCCTGTGATCTTCATTATTGTTTCTATCTCCAAATGCATCCTTTTTGCCTCCAATAACCACTGATTCTTCCTAGAGGTCGAATTAATCTGGACCCCAACTGGTAACTAGCTGGCACTTGACATGCTCGGATGAATAGACAGACGGACAGACATTTGAGCAGCCGCCCCCCACTTCAGGGCGATAAAAAAAACAATTGAAAAATCATCGCAAAAGTTTTAAAGAACATGTAATGTATTCTTAGAAGTATATAAATAACATCTAAAAAACAAATGCAAATATGACTCTCATTTATTTTTGTATAATTTGTGACCTTTTTGCACCATAAAGTTTGTAGTTTTAATGAATGCTTTTTAGCTCAACTATTCGATAAGAATAAGTAGAGCTATTGCAGTCACCCGAGCGTCGGCGTAACCACTTATGTTAAAGTTTTTGTAATAGTTCAAATATTTTCAAAGTCCATAGACATATGGCTTTGAAACTTTGCACACTTGTTCACCATCATGACCCCAACCTGTAGACAGGAGGAGGTAACTCTATCAAGCATTTTGACAGAATTATGCCCCTTTTTTGACTTAGAATTTACGTTAAAGTTTTTGTAATAGTTCAAATATTTTCAAATTCCATTGACATATTGCTTTGAAACTTTACACACTTGTTCACCATCATGACCTCAACCTGTAAACAGGAGGAGGTAACTCTATCAAGCATTTTGACAGAAGTATGCCCCTTTTTCGACTTAGAATTTACGTTAAAGTTTTTGTAATAGTTCAAATATTTTCAAAGTCCATTGACATATGGCTTTGAAACTTTGCACACACTTGTTCACCATCATGACCCCAACCTGTAAACAGGAGGAGGTAACTCTATCAAGCATTTTGACAGAATTATGCCCCTTTTTCGACTTAGAATTTACGTTAAAGTTTTTGTAATAGTTCAAATATTTTCAAAGTCCATTGACATATGGCTTTGAAACTTTGCACACTTGTTCACCATCATGACCCCAACCTGTAAACAGGAGGAGGTAACTCTATTAAGCATTTTGACAGAATTATGCCCCTTTTTCGACTTAGAATTTACGTTAAAGTTTTTGTAATAGTTCAAATATTTTCAAAGTCCATTGACATATGGCTTTGAAACTTTGCACACTTGTTCACCATCATGACCCATACCTGTAAACAGGAGGAGGTAACTCTATCAAGCATTTTTTTTACTATCAAGCACTAAGAATAGTCGAGAGTTGCTGTCCTACCGACAGCTCTTGTTTAAGTCTGCGCTTGTCAGTCTTATTAAGTATGACTGCACTCATAATAAAAGAAAACAAGCCTATTAAAAAAGCCTTCTTGCGCTTGTTTACTTTAAAAATAATACAGTGTATAGAAACATAGGAAAGTGTCAGCAAGATGGCTGCCACAATAATTTTTATTTCATCTATTCTTCTCGTTCACATTTCAGCAGACTAAAATTAACAAAGCTTTAGATTAAAATGCCAAAAAATGTGTTAACCCTTTACCTCATGAGCATATTGTGAAAAATGGTCGTTTTCGATGAAATGCCTCCTGTTACAAGTTCAAACTGCTATGAAACTATGAAAAATGCTTCAATACTGATGAAACTTGGGACAAATGTTGACTGGACCATAGCCTCTGTAACAGCATGCTCAATCTTAAATTTCCTGTTACCATGGCAACGGGGGGACGTCTCAAAATTGCCAAAAATCACTATTTTGCATTGTTTTTTTTTCTATCAAAACTGATTTCAAAGTGCTGCAACTTCTCAATGGATTAAGATAGAGTAAAAGGCTTTTCAGCGTTGGTAACACGTTACCTTACGATCAACCTGAGGCCATTTTTAGCTTGTCACATGTCCAAAATTTCCTTGGCGATGAGGGGAGCTGCCACCCCCCTTAAAACCCCTCGAAACAGAAGGGGACACATCCCCCTTTTGGCATTCCCTTGATGTACTTTTTTGATATGGGGCGGCACCGAAAAAAGCGATCACTTTTAATCAACATTTCTCAAATGAAAAACAGTGTTTAGGGGCCTAAATAGGACATTTTTGCCACTGTTTGAGGCCTGAAAAGGGGGGGGGGGTGAAAAGCCATCAAAACACGTCTATATGAAGTAAAGGGTTAATATCTCGCCCATGGAAGGATTAAATAAACAAACAAAAAATTCTATGGTGGCTATTGATTTTTAAAGGTCAAGCTGTGGTAGAGCAAAAAATGAATTCATCGTACTTTAAATAGGTAAGTAAGCCCAACTACCTGCTTGTACTAAAAAATGCTGTTAGGATGAACATTTTCCCAAAATCAAACCAGTCTAAAGGGGGTTATTGATTTTTAGCTCACCTGAGCATATGCTCAGGGTGAGCTATTAGGATCACTCTTCGTCCGTCGTCTGTCGTCCGTCATATGTCGTACGTCGTCCGTTGTCCGTTCACACTTTTCAAACGACATCTCCTCTGTAACCATAAGGCAGATCATAATGAAACTTCACAGGGATGTTCCTTGTGTGAAGCCTTAACAAAGTTGTTCAAAGAATTCCATTCCATGCAGAACTCTGGTTGCCATGGCAACCAAAAGAAAAAACTTTAAACATCTTCTTCTAAAAAACCCAAAGAGCTAGAGCTTAGATATTTGGCATGAAACATCTTCTAGTGAGTGTCTACCAAGTTTGTTCAAATAAAAGCCCTGGGGTCAAAATTGGCCCCGCCCCAGGGGGTCATTGATTTTCCCTATATGCATATAGTAAAAACTTAAAAAAATTTCTCTTAAAGAACCCAAAGAGCTAGACCTAAGATATTAAGCATGAAACATCTTCTAATGAGTGTCTACCAAGTTTGTTCAAATCAAAGCCCTGGGGTCAAAATTGGCCCCGCCCCAGGGGGTCATTGATTTTCCCTATATGCATATAGTAAAAACTTAAAAAAATCTTCTATTAAAGAACCCAAAGAGCTAGAGCTAAGATATTTGGCATGAAACATGTTCTAATGGATGTCTACCAAGTTTGTTCAAATAAAAGCCCTGGGGTCAAAATTGGCCCCGCCCCAGGGGGTCATTGATTTTCCCTATATACATATAGTAAAAACTTAAAAAAAATTATCTTAAAGAACCCAAAGAGCTAGAGCTAAGATATTAAGCATGAAACATCTTATAGTAAGTGTCTACCAAGTTTGTTCAAATAAAAGCCCTAGGGTCAAAATTGGCCCCGCCCCAGGGGGTCATTGATTTTCCCTATATGCATATAGTAAAAACTTAAAAAAATCTTCTTTTAAAGAACCCAAAGAGCTAGAGCTAAGATATTAAGCATGAAACATGTTCTAATGGATGTCTACCAAGTTTGTTCAAATAAAAGCCCTGGGGTCAAAATTGGCCCCGCCCCAGGGGGTCATTGATTTTCCCTATATGCATATAGTAAAAACTTAAATAATCTTCTTTTTAAGAACCAAAAGAGCTAGAGCTAAGATATTTGGCATGAAACATGTTCTAATGGATGTCTACCAAGTTTGTTCAAATAAAAGCCCTTGGGTCAAAATTGGCCCCGCCCCAGGGGGTCATTGATTTTCCCTATATACATATAGTAAAAACTTAAAAAAAATTCTCTTAAAGAACCCAAAGAGCTAGAGCTAAGATATTAAGCATGAAACATCTTCTAATGGGTGTCTAGCAAGTTTGTTCAAATAAAAGCCCTTGGGTCAAAATTGGCCCCGCCCCAGGGGGTCATTGATTTTCCCTATATGCATATAGTAAAAACTTAAAAAAATCTTCTATTAAAGAACCCAAAGAGCTAGAGCTAAGATATTTAGCATAGATATCTTCTAATGGGTGTCTACCAAGTTTGTTCAAATAAAAGCCCTGGGGTCAAAATTGGCCACGCCCTAGGGGGTCATTGATTTTCCCTATATTGTATATAATAATTAAAAACTTAAAAATCTTCTTTTAAAGAACCCAAAGAGCTAGAGCTAAGATATTTAGCATGAAACATGTTCTAATTGGTGTCTACCAAGTTTGTTCAAATAAAAGCCCTTGGGTTAAAATTGGCACTGCCAGGGGGAGGGGGGGGGGGCAAAAGTCATTGTTTTTCATTATTTGTGTATAGTAAAAACTTAACATCATGAAACATCTTCTAATGGGTGTCTTCCAAGTTTGTTCAAATAAAAGCCTATGTACAGGTGAGCGACCCCAGGGCCATCATGGCCCTCTTGTCCTTATATGTATATTGTGAAAACTTTAAAAAAAATCTTCTTTTAAACCCTAGGGTCTAAATTGCGGCCCCCACATTTCCCCTGCCCCCCCTTCTTCTTGGAACTGTTGTTTTCCCTTAGCAAAAGCAACTAGTAATGTTTTTACACATACACTATATTTCAGATACAAACATGTAGTTTGTGATATCAGTTTAAGATTTAGATTTTATATCTGCTTTTGTTTATAGTTTACCTTATTACTTGTTCCATGTTTTGGAGAGTTTCTTTATTCAGGTGAGCGATTTCAGGGCCATCATGGCCCTCTTGTTTCAAACATTGACCAGTTAGTTTACTGTCAATCCAATATTTTACCAATTACTGGTTAAAGATGAGAAAAAAATGTTATAAGAAACAACCTATCAGATAATTCTTATAATTATTGATTATTTTTAGCTCCACTTTTTTATGCCACCGCAGCATCTGCGATGCGGTGGCATATAGCGATTCACCTGTGTGTGTGTTTGTTTGTGTGTGTGTGTTATATAGATTATATAGTGAACTTAAAAAATCTTCTTGTGAAAAACCACTACTCCAATTTCAACCAAACTTGGCAGGATTGATCCTTGGGTGAAGGGCTTCCAAAGTTGTTGAAAGAATTTCATTCCATGCAGAAATCTGGTTGCCATGGCAACCAAAAGGAATTATAAGAATAAATTTAAAAAATCTTCTTGTAAAGACCCAAAAGGCCTTGAGCTTAGATATTTTGCATAAGGCATTGTCTGGTAGACCATTACCATAATTGTTCAAATAATAGCCCTGGGGTCAAAATCGGCCCCGCCCCAGGGGTCATTGATTTTCACTATATGTACATATAGTAAAAACTTAAAATACCTTCTTGTAAAGACCCAAAAGGCCTAGAGCTTAGATATTTTGCATAAGGCATTGTCTGGTAGACCTCTACCAAGATTATTCAAATTATAGCCCTGGGATCAGAATCGGCCCCGCCCCGGGGGTCATTGGTTTTCCTTATATGTATATAGGAAAAAAACTTAAACATGACTTGTAGTAAAAACTTTAAAAAAAATTCTTCTAGTAATTGACAAATGCTAGAGGTTAGATATTTTGCATGAAACATTATGAAATGAACTTCTAGCAAGATTGTTTAAATTATAGCAATGAGGTCAAAATTGCCTTTGCCCCCGGGGTCATTGATTTTCAATATAAACATATAGTAAAAAAATCAAAAAATCTTATTGTCTGAAGGTACAAGGATTAATGCTGTGGCATAGCATTTTTCTCTAATGCAATCTTGTTTTTTTTAAAAGTAGAGGTATTGTTACAGTCATATTGCCGTTGACGTTGTCGTCTGCAAACTTGTATGTTGATCATAACTTTTTAAGTTTTTGGTGTATTGTCTACATACTTGGCCACAACAACCCTTGAAACAATACAGTTTAGTAAAGCAGACTAACCTTGACCTTCATCCATCAATGGCATTGACCTTCAAATTTAAATGTCTAAATTTTGCTTGTTTTTTGCTGATTGATTATATATGTATATATACATTTTTGTTCTCTTTTTGTGTCGCCTCTACGGAGTAGTGGCGACATATAGGGATCACTTCTCCGTTGTCTGTCTGTCCATCCGTCCGTCACAAAACTTGTCCGGACTACTCCTCATAAACTACTGGTGCAATTTCATCCAAACTTTACAGGAATGATCAGTACCAAGTCTAGTTGTGCATATTGTCAGCATTTTCAGGTTCAATGATTTTTGTCAGAGTTATGGCCCTTTAATAATTTTTAATTTTAAAGTTTGTCCGGACTACTTCTCTTATACCACTAATGCAATTTCAATGAAACTTTACAGGATTGATATGTAGCTCAAGTCCTTGCGCATATTGCACATGTTTTCCGGTTGAATGATTTTTGGCCGAGTTATGGCCCTTTGATAAAAAGGTGTTTTTTTCTGTGTGTTGCCAGATACACAAAAGCTTGTCGGGACTACTCCTCATAAACTACTGGTGCAATTCCATCCAAACTTTACAGGAATGATCAGTACCAAGTCTAGTTGTGCATATTGTCAGCATTTTCCGGTTCAATGATTTTTGTCAGAGTTATGGCCCTTTAATAATTTTTTATTTTAAAGTTTGTCCGGACTACTTCTCTTATACCACTAATGCAATTTCAATGAAAGTTTACAGGATTGATCTGTAGCTCAAGTCCTTGTGCATATTGCACGGGTTTTCCGGTTGAATGATTTTTGGCCGAGTTATGGCCCTTTGATAAAAAGGTGTTTTTTTCTGTGTGTTGCCAGATACACAAAAGCTTGTCCGGACTACTCCTCATAAACTACTGGTGCAATTTCATTCAAACTTTACAGGAATGATCAGTACCAAGTCTAGTTGTGCATATTGTCAGCATTTTCCGGTTCAATGATTTTTGTCAGAGTTATGGCCCTTCAATAATTTTTATGCCCCCGCCATATAATGGCAAGGGCATATAGTGTTACCCTGTTCCGTCCTTCCGTCATCATCAGTTTCCGTTCATTATCTTAATAACCGTTGCACATATTGAACTCAAATTTGACATATAGATATGTCATGAGAAAATACAGGTCAAGTTCGAAATTGGTCATGGTTCGATGATTTTTTGCAGACATATTGCCCCTTTTACTTTGAAAATAATATGAAATTTTCAGTTTCCGTTCATTATCTCCCCAACGGTACAACACATTCAACTCAAACTTGACATATGGATATGTCATGAGAAAATACAGGTCAAGAGTAAATTTGGTCATGGTTCGATGATTTTTGGCAGAGTTATGCCCCTTTTGCTTTGAAAATAATATGAAATTTTCAGTTTCCGTTCATTAACTCCCCAATGGTACAACACATTAAACTCAAACTTGACATATGGATGCGTCAAAGAAATGCGCAGGTTAAGTTCAAATTTGGTCATGGTTTGATGATTTTTGGCAGAGTTATGCCCCTTTCACTTTGAAAATGATATGAAATTTTCAGTTTCCGTTCATTATCTCCCCAATGGTACTACACATTCAACTCAAATTTGACATATGGATATATTTTTGGAATGCACAGGCCAAGTTCGAATTTGGTCATGGTTCGATGATTTTTGGCAGAGTTATGCCCCTTTCACTTTGAAAATGATATGAAATTTACAGTTTCTGTTCATTATCAACCCAACAGTGTTACATATTCAACTCAAAATTGACATATGGATATGTCAAAGGAATGTGCAGATCAAGTTGGAATTTGGTCATGGTTCGATGATTTTTTGGCAGAGTTATGTTCCTTTCACTTTGAAAATAATATAGATACATCTTAGGAATAAGCAGTTTAAGTTGGAATTTGGTCGTTGTTCAATGATTTTGGACAAACTTATCTTTCCTGAATGTTGGAAAAATTTTGAACTTTCAGTTTCAGCACTCATACTTTTCTGGAAATGTATATAGCCATTATTTTGGCTACAAATATGCAATATGCTGTTTTCAAAAGGTTAAGACTGAATAATTTCAGTGCCTTGAACATTGTATAAAAATGGTTTGTGTTAACATTGAAAAGTTTTAAGGGCTTTGAACATAGAATGAAAAAAATAATTTGTGCAAACAAATTTGGAACTAAATATTATAACATTTGAAATTTTGGCTGCATGCGGGGGCATCCGTGGCATGATGACACATTTCTAGTTATTTTTAAAGTTTGTCCGGACTACTTCTCTTGTACCACTAATGCAATTTCAATGAAACTTTACAGGATTGATCTGTAGCTCAAGTCCTTGCGCATATTGCACAGGTTTTCTGGTTGAATGATTTTTGGCCGAGTTATGGCCCTTTGATAAAAAGGTGTTTTTTTCTGTGTGTTGCCAGATACGCAAAAGCTTGTCCGGACTACTCCTCATAAAGTACTGGTGCAATTTTATCCAAACTTTACAGGAATGATCAGTACCAAGTCTAGTTGTGCACTGTCTGTCTGTCTGTCCGTCTGTCACAAAATTTGTCCCAACATGAAATTGGCCATCATGAGGCGACACATGTGATTACTGATCGTTCTTGTTACATTATATACACGCCTATTAAATTTTGTGTGTAATTTTCATAATTTTGTAACTGGCTATAATATATGTACACACACACACACACACACAGTAGGCGACACATGTTTTTAATACCTCGTGATCATGATAAAGGCAATTAAAAGTAATTAATACCAATTAATACCAAATTAGAGGTGTTGTAACCCATTTGTTTGTCATGATAATATTGTTTATTTGCCATCTAATACTATCAAAAGAAAATAACTCATGAAATATGCAAATGTCAATAAATAACTGATGTTTACCTGGACGGTTTCAATTACAGTCTTGTTGATGTAGCTTGAATTGTAACAGTGTTATCTATTTATAGAATGATACTTGTACGTGTGTTTATTTTAGTAAATGACTACAAATAGATTTTGCTGTAAATTTTTTATATATATTAGAATTTGAACCTTATCTTAATAATATTGTTAATGATATTTCTAGAATCCAGTTAAGTGGATTCCGTTTGTCTTCGCATAATCTTGTAACTGAAACTGGATGATTTAATAATATAGAGAGAAATGAAAGATTGTGCTTATTTTGTAATCAGAAACAGATTGAATCTGAATATCATTTTTTTATTGATTTGTTCAAAATATAATAATATCAGAAAAGATTTACTTCCAAAATATTATACGAGGTATAGTCAAAAAGTTCCCGGACTCTTACGATAACTTTGTTATTTTGTGTATGTTTTTATAATGACATATATCACATTAAAATTTAGAGAAATCGCTGCATGAATATATAAGAGTCAATGATTTTCATAAATGTTACACATATTTAACAGCCCGATAAACTTACACACTATGTCACGTACGGAGCACTTCGCGACGTCAACAACGCTAACGACGTTCAGGTGACGTTCATATTCCAGAAACAACTTACCGTCACGTTCATACTTTTTCAAAATAGTCCCCATTGTGTTCAATACACTTCCTGTGCCGCTGTACCCACTTCCGGTAAATGTAAAGGTTACACAAAGTGCACTAGATGTGCACTACTAGTGCACTTCAAAGTGCACTAGTAGTGCACTTCATAAGTGCACTTTGTAGTGCACCAGACCTATTATATGTAGCAGTTACCTTTTATTTCAATGAATAGCAATTTGAATTTTACAAAAAGATAGATAAATATAGATATCTGTATAATAGTTTTTCATAATAGATTTGAAGTTGTGAATATTGGATTTTGTAAAATATGGCGTAAAATATTAGAACAATAATTTTTCAAAGTCATTAATTTTACTGATTTTAAAACTTAATTGTTAGAATAAGTAAATATAAATAATTATAACTTTAATGTTGATAAGTGCATAAATAAATAAAATTAATTGATATTTAATATAATTCTATTTTATTATAATCTGGTAATGAAATATGAAACATTGAAATGCTAATTTTTTGGAAGGTGGGGGTGCAAATTATACAAATTATAGTTTATACCAATTAGTATAAACTGTTATTATAAAATGCAAAAATATTTCATTTTTCTTTTTTGTACTACTTGTAATGAAATTTATTTGCACCAACATCCAGAGAATACAGAATTTACATTGCCTACTTATATTTATCATCTGCCTTTTGTTATTTACCCTGAGGGGCTCTCTTATCAGCAGGGTACTATATTAAAACACCAATACACAGCATGACTTTTGACACTTCAATCTTCTGTAACAGTTTTATGCTCATGTATGGTAATTTATTAAAAGAAAAAAAAAAAAACAGATCCGCATTAAAGTGAAAAGGAAGTTGCAAAAGTTTTATAATCATGTATTTAAATATTTTCTTTAAAATATATTATCTTCTAAATGTGTTAAAACTGACAAGGTAAATTTGTCAAATCTATAATAAAAAAAATTAACATTTCCCAGCTCAGAATCTAAAAGATGATTTTAATGTGGAATTGCAAGAAATGTGGATAAATATTGATATGAGGTCATTCCAGAATAGCTAAAACTGATATTGATTTTAAACGATGAGATTAGAAAATTCCACTTCAAACACAATAATGACAATAATATTTAACATGCATATTTTATGCCATTATTATTATTTTTTACATTAAATTTTAATTATACAAAAATTATAGTCATTTATCTTAGATGTCTTACATGTATTTTGGGGAAAAAAAACTGGAAATTCTAAATAAATATTGCATACACCTGCTTTTTTGTTATTTACCCTGAGGCCCCATTATCAGCAGGAGACCAGTGTAATGTCAGAAAAATACCAATACACAGCATGACTTGAGACTGTTCTCTTGTATAAAAGCATTCCCTTTATACGTTAAGTTTTTAATATAGAAATCTTAAATAAAGTTATCAATTGTATTTATTTCATGCACAGATATATAAACTTATATTTAGCTCCATGATTTCATGAAAAAAAATTAATTATTTATATCTTTAAAAAGTATGCAAGCATTTCATGGTTGAAAACATAATATCACAGTGTATGGATTGTTTTAAAATCAATGACTTAATATTCTCTTTCAATCTTGAAAATGAGGAATTGCCTCTTAAGTTATATATTATTATACAGAGTGACAAGAAATGTGGATAAATGGATAAAATATACAAAATTCCGCTTTAGAGACAATAATATCTAATATGCATTTATGCCATTATGATTTTTTTTGTATATTTGATTAAACAAAAATTATAGTTATTTATCTATATGACTAACTAGCCTGAGTGCCTACGGCTGATGAGTCTAACATGCATTTTGCGAAAACCAGGGAATTTCAATGCATACTAATAATCCGCAAAATTGACTGTTCTTTGTTATTTACCCTGAGTCTCTTATCAGCAGGAGTGGTATAATGAAAACAATCCATCTCAGTAAAATACCAATACACAGCATGACTTGAGATTTTCTTCTTCAATAAAAGTATTCCCTTTATACATAAAATTTTTAATATTGAAATCATGAATAAAGTTATTAATTTTTTTTTTTTTATGGATAATATTTTAATTATTTATATCTATAAAACATATGCAAGCATTACACAGTTGAATACTAAATTATCACAGTATATTGATTGTTTAAAAACCAATGTCTTAATATTCTCTTTCAATATTGAACATGAGGAATTGTCTCTAAGTTATATATTATAGAAATAATATTTTATTTTAGCTTAGATATAAACCTTTCCTTGATTTGATTGAGCTTATGAAAAAAAAGTTTATGTTGTTACAAACTAAATTAATTGGGCCAGAATTATCACATTGATTTTCCCATTTGTACATTAGAAAAATTGAAATACACGGCCATTAAAAAAAGCTTTAAAAAACACTTTTACACAATTTATCCATTACGGAGCATATTTAAATTAAACCTTATTAATTCTATTAATTTGATTTTAAGGGGTATCATTTTACACTTACAATTAAATACTGGTTAATAAAAATATGATTACAATAAATAATTTTTTGTTAAATTTTAAGCTTTAACATGTTATCACCTAAAATGTTAAAATTTACTTATTTATATTCATGAACAGGCCATATATTCCCAAAGTTTTTTTCTTCTTACAACAGATTAACAATAGATGCCCTCTGTCAGTTGATATACAATTATCCAATAAACCATTTAGGTGTCACCTTCCCTGGCCAACCTGGTCATATGGTCTAGTGCACTAGAAGTGCACACGGTGTGCACTTCTAGTTCAGCTCTAGTGCACTAGAAGTGCACAAGGGTGGGAAGTTTAGTGTGAACTCAACTGTACCACTCTGGAGTGTAACTTCTTATTGCGGACCTCACACCATATTTGATCTCATCTTCTGTATCAAACCTCCCACCCCTCAAATCTGCTTTCAGTCTAGGGAAAACACAAAAGTCTAAGGGGCGAGATCGGGGCTATAAGGGGGATGACGTAGCCGCTCATATCCTAAGAAGTCAATAGTTAGGAGTGTCTCGTCTGCGCGGTGTGCTGGAGCGTTATCTTGATGAAAAATTAAATTTACGATGTAGCACCCTGCTTGCTTTTTCCTGATAGCGTTCTTAGATCCCTCCGCACAACCTGTTAATAACAAATTCATTTTCTTTGAAACTACCACAAATGTGGCAAATTATAAAAATAATAATTTCTTTCATTTTTTGATATAAATTTTATACTTTTCACCTTACATATAGATAAACATAGAAATTTAGTAAAAACATTTCATGCGACATAATTAATGCTTTCCTTTTGATAGTACTCTTTGTTGACTGTCGCCGATCTTGGCACCGCATGTTGCAACAGCATACCCTGGCTATCCATGAAGAAAATATACATGACTTTCTTCGCCGACTTGCAGGTTTTCGCCTTATTGGGGGGAGGTGATGAAGGTCGCTTCCACACCATCGACTCTCGTTTACTCTCCAGGTCATAAAAGTTCACCCACGTCTCGTCCGTAGTGATAATGCGCCTTAGGAATCGTTCGCCGTCTCTATCATATCGCCATAAAAAATTCTCTGGAAGCGACTACACGGGTTGCTTTGTTTTCATCTGTAAGTAACCTAGGTACCCAGCGGGCGCATACCTTATTCATGTTTAAATCCTTCGTCACTATCTTATGTACAGTTCCATGACAAAGCCCGACGGTGTCTGCGATATCATCAATCGACTTTCTCCGATCTTTGGCGATGACGTCCTTCACATCTTGGATTGAGCGCTGATCGTTACCCGGTCTTCCGCTTCGTGCACTATCGGTAATTTCCGTCTGACCTTCCCTAAAACGCTTGTGCCAGTCAAACACAAGTGTCCTAGAACAATTATGAACACCCTCCTTCTGATTCAAAAACTTCCAGGTATCAGTCGGGGGTCATTCCAGACATCGCACAGAATTCTATTTCTGCCCGCTGCTCCGTACGTTTTTCTGAGATTGACATTTTTTCGTACAGAAATTTTCACGTGGCTTGAATAATCGTGCACAAAATGGCGATACGTCATCCTATCACGCTGAATTTTTGCAGTTGTTTACTAGTAACGTTCAGCTAACGTCACATACAAAAATCACAACGTTCTGGCGCCAGTATTTTGATACATTCATGAAAGAGTATTATTCACTTCTAGAAAAATCAAATTAATTCTGAAATGCCCCGTACCAAGTTGCGGGTGTGTTTCATGTGAAAAATAATTTCCAAATATTTACTAAATTGATTTTTTTCATACATGTTGCTACTCAAATTAGTTAAAAATACCTACATGGTAAATTTCATGACAGACCGCCTTCGTGGTCGAGGGGTTAGAGTCGATGACTTCTAATCCAGTTACCTATCTGGCGTGGGTTCGATCCCCGGAGATGCTTTGGTAGTTTAGCGCGGAGGACAGTAGTCTTGTACTGGTGTAACTCTCCAGGAACGATGATTAGGAAACTACCCGACTATATGACTGAAATACTGTTGGGGAAAAGGCGTAAAATGAAACAAACAAACAAACAAAACAAATTTCATGACAATCGGACATCAATAATCTTTTTAAACAGACCAGTCCGGGAACTTTTTGACTATACCTCGTACATCTTGGCCTTCACTTAATAAATTTGTTGCATTAATGAATAATAATAATAAAACTATTCAAGTAAAATTAGCAACTTATATTAAAGAGGCATTTAAAGTAAGAACACTGGCTATTGAGCTAAATGAATTTTTACAGACAAACAGTGCTTAATTGTAAAAAAATTTTCATTGTATTGTAATGTTTATATATTATGTGTTTGATAAATCATATGCATTTGAATTATTATTGTACATTGATATGTTATTTTGTCTTGGCCATATTCTATAATTATTTACTTGTAAATGGCCAAAGGCATATTTATGCCGATTGCTAAATAAAGATTGATTGATTGATTGATTGATTGTTAAAATGTTTTTAATACTAGCTTGGCAGTTGTATTGCAATATTTTGTGAGAACATTTTACCAAAATTTTCATTCCCTGAAGCCATAACTTGACTGTGCAATCACTTGATTGAATAATTATCGGATAGCAGTATTTACGTACTGATCTTTAATCGAGCGCAACCTGATATTATATTTATTATTATTTTAATATTGTTCTTAATTATAACAGTGTGTTTTAACAGATGAAATTTATTTGTTTTTCGCTGTTTGGGACTCGCTTTAGCCGAAAATTCATTTTAAGCGAGTATGTATTAAGTGATGTGATTAAATATTAAATAAAAAAGGAATCAGCAGGAGATTTCAGATTAAGTTTGCTATAAATGATAATTCGTTATAAGCGAGTTAGTTATGAGTGGAGTCGACTGTACAATGGTCAAGCACATTGAGATGAGGTGCAGTGTACAAGAATCTTAACTCCATTTTGACTAATTACAGAGTTATTGCCTTTTTTTGGGTGCGCAAGCCCCCAGTGTAATTACGATAAATTCAGCTTACTACCTTTTGAACGCATCTAGGCTATCTAGCTGCGCTGAGCAAAAATAGTTCCAATATTTTGCCATAATATTCAGATAATTATAATATCTTATGTGTTTTAAATTGACTGGTCATTTTATTACTAAATTATAAATCCGTTCATCACAAAATTACATATATCATTGCTTTACGTGATTTGAATATTACTACGCCAGCAGTCGATAGAAAATTTAAGAGAACCAGTTTATTTATCTACCTTCTGGTTCCCGATGCATGAGAGCCAAAGTACGTGCATAAATTTAGTGCCAATTTTATCAAGTCATAAATTAACTAACTATCATAGAACACAATAATTCAGGAAAAAATGGAATATGATTTTCATATTAGATAACTTTCAAGCTTAAAATGCTTAAAAAGTATGAATGTCAGAGAAAAAAATTGTATGCATATTAATACGAACTATTTTCCCTCTGGCGTCATTTTCCCGCAATTATAATTGGCCAGTTATTCGAAGAAAGATTGAGAAGATTTGCTACCGATAAGGAAGTCCCAGGTGTTTAAAAGAGTTGTAAGTTTTATTATACAAACACTTAATCTCCTTTATTCCCTGCGGTCTGGAGACCGCAGGGTATTGGTACGCGTTTAACTTTTGAGGCATGGAGGAGCACGTGACCTGTTTTCGGTACATGGATGAGCATGTGATCTGTAAACCGTACACGATTGGTCGAAAACCTGGCTAAATACTGTTTATCGGTACGTTACGGAATTACCTCTAGCAAATTAGTCAGAATTACACATAATAAGAACAAAAAACTATTACGTGATATTTCTAATTTTCTATAATTAATTTACTGTTTAAGGTGGAAAAACTTGAATGATATATTCGAAAATTATCATTGTTTCTTTAATATATGTATCTCAAATTTTACAAACAATAAATTGTTTATACTGAAAATCTACAAAATTAAAATATTCGTAGTGGCATCTGTCATAATAAATAGAGATATTTTCTGCGTAAACTTGTATGTTTACTTTATTTTTTTTTGCTTGGAATTATTCATAAAATGGTAGGCCTATTTAATCATTTTCTTATAAAGAAATATTTGTTTCATGTTCAACGGTCACCAGTTTCCAAAGACCTTCTTCTATTTTGTCTAACTTGTTATACAATATGGCTAAAGTTCAGATCTACTTATTTCATACATGAAGATCTGATTTCCACAGTTTTGACTTCATCAGATGTAGGATTTCATGATATTTATGGTCAGTCCATAATTTTATAGATTTTTATGCCCCCGGGCATATAGTGATTGAACCGTCCGTCCGTCTGTCCGTACGAGGTTAACCTAGAACGGCAAGTTGGATTTTTCTTAAGTTCTACCTGTACCAATGCCTTCTAAGTTTACACACTTACTAATCAATACAGAGTACATGATCTGGGCAAGTAACATAACTCTGGCTTTCATATTTACCAAGTTATTGCCCTTTTAAGCACTTAGAAAATGAATAATGGTTAACCTAAAACGGCAAGTTGGAAATATCTTAAGTTCTATCTATACTAATGGCTTTATAATTTATAATTTCCACAATTACTTATCAATACAAAGTACATGATATTGCCAAGTTATATAACTGTGTCATCCATATTTCCCAGTTATTTCCCTTTTTTCACTTTGAAAATAGGGCCTTGTCTGGTTAACCTATTTCGGCAAGTTGGATTTATCTTAAATTTCTCTTAAATGCTTAATTTCTTTAATGATATCTTTCATATTTAGTAGGTGGATACCTTTGATGGTCCTCTAATTTTTTGTGGAGTAAGCGGTCTCTAGGGTCAAGGTCAAGGTCACTGGTTTGAAAAATAAATATAAACATTTTTGCTCATACAGCCTTTATATTTTAGTTGATGTCTTAGTTTAATACAAACATGCCAAGGGAAATCCTCCTTCTTTGGTTGTAGTAAGGGGTCATTTGGGTCAAGGTCAATGTTACCAATGTCAAGGTCACCAATGTTAAAAATAGATTTTTACAATTTTACCTTATTCTATAGATAGATGTTATTTATAATTGATAGAAACATAAACTTTGATGGAGTTAGTGGTCAGTTGGGTCAAGGTCACCAGTGCTAAAAATAGATTTTTACACATTTGCTCATACAGCCTTTATTAAGTGATAGATATATTTTATATTTGGTAGGAAGATAACTTGCATGGTATTCATCCTTTTGATTGGGGTAGGGATCAGTGGGTCAAGGTCACCAGTGCTAAAAATAGATTTTTACACTTTTGCCCATACAGCTTTTATTTATTGACAGATGTATTTCATATTTGGTAGGAAGATAACTTGCATGGTATTCTTCCTTTGGATGGAGTAAGGGGTCAGTTGGGTCAAGGTCACCAGTGCTAAAAATGGATTTTTACACATTTGCTTATACAGCCTTTATTAAGTGATAGATATATTTTATATTTGGTAGGAAGATAACTTGCATGGTATTCATCCTTTTGATTGGGGTAGGGATCAGTGGGTCAAGGTCACCAGTGCTAAAAATAGATTTTTACATTTTTGCCCATACAGCCTTTATTTATTGACAGATGTATTTCATATTTGGTAGGAAGATAAATTACATGGTATTCTTCTTTTGGATAGAGTTAGGAGTCAGTTTGTTTACGGTCACCAGTGCTAAAAATAGATTTTCACACTTTTGCCAATACAGCCTTTATTTATTGACAGATGTATTTCATATTTGGTAGGAAGATAACTTACATGGTATTCTTCTTTTGGATAGAGTTAGGGGTCAGTTTGGTTAAGGTCACCAGTGCTCAAACTAGATTTTTACACTTTTGTCCATACAGCCTTTATATAATGACAGATGTATTTCATATTTGGTAGGAAGATAACTTGCATGGTATTCTTCCTTTGGATGGAGTAAGGGGTCAGTTTGGTCAAGGTCATCAGTGCTAAAAATAGATTTTTACACTTTTGCCCATACAGCCTTTATTTATTGACAGATGTATTTCATATTTGGTAGGAAGATAACTTACATGGTATTCTTCTTTTGGATAGAGTTAGGAGTCAGTTTGTTTAAGGTCACCAGTGCTAAAAATAGATTTTCACACTTTTGCCAATACAGCCTTTATTTATTGACAGATGTATTTCATATTTGGTAGGAAGATAACTTACATGGTATTCTTCTTTTGGATAGAGTTAGGGGTCAGTTTGGTTAAGGTCACCAGTGCTCAAAATAGATTTTTACACTTTTGCCCATACAGCCTTTATTTAATGACAGATGTATTTCATATTTGGTAGGAAGATAACTTGCATGAAGTTGAATATTTTTCAACTTCACAAGTCTGAGCAATGACTTGGCAACTTATATTTTTCACAATTACAAAATGCCATGACTTTGTCAAGCTATATAACTTGTGTTTACAATTTTTTGGCAATTTTTCTGTCCATAACTGAGTGAATGGGTAAACATTTTTTGAAATATTGCTACTGACAAGAATCTGAGCCGGGGGCATTTGTGTTTAACAAACACGTTCTTGTTTATTTGTAAATTTATAGACATTTATATGAAAATAGTAGTTGTATTAAAATTTAAAACCACAGGTCAATAATAATAACATTACTGATTATATTATTAAATATAACAGTATGGTTATATTTAGAACAATTTGATGACTATCAATTTTCACTTTAAACAAAAATTTAAAAGTCATCATACACTGATGAAACTTACCTCATTACCTTTGTTGATATAAACAATCAATAAAAACTTGTCTTTAGCAGCGGAATTTTATATACATCATATTTAGTCATCATTACTTTTATTGTTTAACATCTATATGATTATTATACTAATAGTATTCAAAAGTCTAATTGATGTAAGTATGTGAATTGGTAGAGGAAGGAATAATTAATCATGGCAGTGGCTAGCAGTATGAACCAGTATTGTTTGACAAAAGTGCTGGCTGTACGCGAGCCACATACGACTAGCATATATACTCACTGTTGAGGCTAGCCGTACAGCATTTTAAAAATGATTTGCCTAAAACAATAATATGCAAACTTATTTTTCTAAAAGAAGATTTTATTGAATATCATATACAATTTACAGTTGGTATATTAATTTTTAGTGTTTGATGAAAAGAAGATTTTTTTTCCTTCTGAAAATCATAGACTTGCATAATTTAAGTCTGTGTGAAAGCGCAAAGAGAAATAGACTGAAAATTAATTTATTATTTCTATGGACAGTATAGATGTAATACATTTGTAATCAAACATGTGGGTCAATTTCAAGCAATAGTTGAATTATGACAAAGTATTTTTAATAATTTTATTTAACTTTTAGCTACTTGAAAATTTCATGCTGGATGTTTGCTTACCATTACATTTTGCATAAGAGCTCTATAATTGACAATAAAGTCCACGAGCCAATTTATTTCTGATACAATGTAGATCTTTTCGATATCTTGTTATA